GGTGAGCCATCTTGGTTACTCAAAATTGGCAGATTACGCTACAGGCAACAAATCGGCTTCAGAAGTAATGTCACTCGCATGCCTTCAGAAAACTTTGAGCTACGAAAGTCACCACACTCTTCAAAATCAAAGGCAGAAGTCGCGATAGAAAGAGCTCAAGAACCACATTGGTTGCCTCAAGAAATGATGCAGGATTTAGTCAGTCCAGATGGGTGTGTATCATAGCATACACCAGTTGGTGGGTTGAATGATATTCCTCAATTTCAATGGCAATCATTTCATTTCGAAGCTTCAGTACTACAGTCCTGACACTTACGATTAGAGTGGGGTTTCTTCTATGAATTTTCCGTTCGATGGAATGATACAGCCAGATTATAATTTTGCATGCATGATCCGCCTTGGAGTTTTCTGGAGATTGCTGGCGAACAACTCGGTACAGACTCCAACAGATGGTCGGAATAGATTTACTATGTAGAGCCTTAATCAGTTTGGAGGATTAATGTGCTCTCACTAAAGGCTTCGTCATTGATACTCGGGTCTAATGGTTCTATCGTATATTAGTCAATCTTCGTATATTGTTCCCCATCATCCTCGAAGAGCTATAAAACTCCATCGATAAAAAGCCCAGCCCATAATTTTTCTCAGGTGGTGAAGGCATGTTGGGGATCCGATGTTGTGACCTTGTTCAGGCCCTAGTCGCCATGTTTGCTTAAACTCAATGAGAAAGAGGAAGGCTTTCCTTTTCCAATTGAGTTTAGGTTTAGGTGAAGGTCTGTCTTATTTCCCTCAGCTAAAATATTTCTACAGTATAGGACAAGTTCCTGCCGAACTGCATTTTTTCATACAAATTCACTGTCGCAGTTTTGCCCATTTCTAGCGGATTTTCTCTGTACCGAAGCTCTGCGACTCACACGTCTCATGGAGAAAAAGGAAAAGGGGTTCTACATACTTGTGAATCATCTAGCAACTATTCATAAACTTTCTTTGCTCTGGTTCTTTTGTAGAACAAGTATTCAATGATCACGCGGCTTGAAGCGGTTCAATCGCTTGGTGGATGATTCCACGATAAGGTCGAAGAAGAGGCAAAATTAATCCTGGCGGAGAGACAGGCGGACCTCCTGAGGGTGCGGACCAACACGCAATTCGCGGACCAGCACCCAATTCGCATCGAAGGCCCCCAGCGATCTAGCATTGCCTTCCCCCGGCGTAGTTGGCAAGCACTGGCCCGGTACGCCCCCTTTTCGCGTCTCTAGCCGTTCAGCAGAGAGAGCGTTAGCGTTGAAGAGGGCAGCAGCGATGAGAGTCGCATCAATGCGCAAATCAACGGGCAAGGAAGGGGTCCCATTTCTCGGGTTCTGGGCCGTTTTTCTCGGTTTTTCTTCTTTCGTGCATCACTGACCATCTCTAGCTTAATTTGAAATGGGTTGCCTTCTCACTGTAAATCCACCTTCAAGCTCCTTCGACAAAATGATTGCTGTATTTTAATGGCCAATCCAATTTTTACAATTTTGCATCGAATAATGAGAGGATGTGATGCAGTTATAATAAGAATTTACAGAAACACAAATAGGATATAAGGGAGTGACACACTTTCATAACAGCAAGTATGCACACAATCCATAAATCTGTCGCCACCTACACCTTCTGGTCTGTGAGTCGCAACAACCAGGAAATGCTTTGAACGAACCTTATAAGGAGACCTAGATGCATCGATAGAGTCTTGAACGCTGATTACAAATATGGACACTAAAACTGCTACGTGAACTTCCTAAGAAAGTTATGAGCCTTCAAAGTTGGCAAAAAACGTTACTGAGGCGAGCTTACCTGGTGGAATCACAGTCGCCGTGGCTCTGCGCCAAAAACGAGTCTCAAATTCGTAATCAGGGCACCCATTAACCCTTATAGAACAAGAAACCAGGCAAAAAGCAACCGTGATTTCCACCAGGTGAGCTCGCCTCAGTAACGTTTTTTGCCAACTTTGAAGGCTCGTAACTTTCTTAGGAAAGTTCACGTAGCAGTTTTAGTGTCCATATTTGTAATCAGCGTTCAAGACTCTATCGATACATCTAGGTCTCCTTTCAAAGTTCCATGGGAAGTTCAAAGCATTTCCTCCTAAGTGTTACCTCGCATCACGCCGCTTACGTACGAAACCGCTAGAAGTGTGGGCGCAGGTTCTAGAAAACCTGGGAGCTCATTTGAAGTAACAGGCCACCACAATCAGCTCAATACTGAGTTGCAGAAGCGGATTGTCATGTGCTTCTCGCCGTACTTTCAATGTCATGGTGCTGCTGTAATAGTCATTGATGGAACATGCCACATGAAGTCGCTTCATGATTTTCAGCAGGTTAAACTGGAGCTTTCTCGCAATCTTTGTGAAAATAATGAAACACTTGACTTTCAGGAGATGGCCTTTGTGCGCGATCGACTCACACCCAGGCTGGACATTGAAGACAGATTCAAGGTTGCGTTTTGGCTCACTGGCTTCCCTTATAAAGGGTCACAGTGAAGATAGATTTGTGAGCTCACATAAGGATGCTTGTGAAGAATTGGATGCACTGGATGAGCTCGTCAAAAGGAAGGCCTCCGAAAGGGAGCAGCCTCAAAAGGCAGAAGAATATTGTTATATATCGTTGAGTGTTCTTCGATTAACGGCTGCTTTCTATAGGGTGCTTGAACGGGTAGCTGCAATGTATGCAACACGAAGAAGCGGGGTGAATTCTCTTCTCGAGATCAGAGTAGGTGACACGCACGTTTAGAGCCTAAAGAATAGCAGTGATTAATGTAGTTTAGGGACGAGGAAGAGAATTTCTGAAGCAGGTGATTACGTCAGAAAATACTTGGGAGCTACGATCACCGTGGTCGCGCTCAGTGGAAAGGAATATCCGTGGAGACACTTCCCGGCAGAGTCGGTTTTCGCTGTCGATGTGGATGATCTGAATCACTCGCCTCAGCTGGATTACTGTATTGCGGAGAGGAGCTGCGCCATTTTTCATTACTGTAAGTCCATGTCTGAATCAGCTGTAATGTTCTCTCAACAAGTGTTATTTCAGGCGATCCAAGCAGAGGAAGTTCATTCAACTGTGAGGGCAATTTTAACGTCGAAAAAGAAGCTACCAACGACGACCACAGCTAAGAAGGTAACATCACGGGCGCCGCAGTATGGAACAACATCAAAGGCACCCACAAATACAAGAACGACTACAAAGACCTTGAAAACACCTTTCCCATTTGCTCCGACAAACGCTCCCAATGTTGAGGGTTCCTCTGCGCTTTGTAAATCTGATCGAACTTCGTGGCAATGCACGTCAGTGCTATTTGATCCGTCAACGAATCACCACAGCGCACCGCGGCATTCAAAAGCGTCAGTTCAACAGACATGAGGCGCTTTGACTTCGCGTTCACGAGGAGAGGTAACTGACTGAAATGTGACCCATAAAAACGTTAAGGTTTCTTGAAATCAGTTATTTAATCCATTGAGGTAGTGTGATTTTGAAATATATGCGTTTCATTGTAGATGCTGGTGCACGTGCAATCGAACCTTTACAATTTCAATATCCTACCGTATCCATCTAGCAACCAGGTGAGCGCTGTTTTTGTTCGCCTTTTTACCTTCGGGAAGGAGGGACGTCATTAGGTGGGAATTTGCGTCACTAAATGAGTAAGAAAGCTCAGTGATGGCTTTGAGCTCTATGGAGTAAATTGGAAACTATTCGAAGGCGCGAACCTTGTCGGAATAATGTCCGGTATGTTTACCTCATTTATGTCGAACCATAATTGGCTGACGAGAAATTGCCCGAATCAGCAGAATTCAGAGGCGATATAGGGGACATTCTCATAGAATTTAACTCAAAACAGTCTTGACGTTTGCATTCCGACTGGGTAATCTTTCAGAATTGCTTCCATATTTCAGGTTTATCTAAGAACTGTTTGGATGGTGGGTGATGCAATTTCAAATGACGCCATTGGCGCATACTCGTAGACTTGCGTAGGAGGATAAAAACATAGGCTTTTATATAAGGCCACACTCCTCAAAATTTTAATCGTAGAAGTCACACCCTGTGACGAATCACCTCCCTACGACTTATGATATAAAAAGCAAAAATATTAAGAAAAAAATAAAAAAAAAATTATCGTCAGCAGCGGAGACAGTCTGAAGAATTTGTGTGGAATAGGTAAATGAAAGTGGAATATATTAGCTTCAAAGCAGAACGAGGTAAAGGATTCTTCAACTTGTTCGTCTATGAAGTTAATGCATCTACCAGAACGCCCAAGTTAGTTTACCAGCCGCAGAGAAAAAATAATATAATAAATAAATAAATGAGAATTCAGCAACTACATTCTCCATATGATGCGTTACACCCAGTATAAATTCAGGAATTGACAAAAGAGGGTAATTCTATTCCTGCCTATAATCATAGGCTTGCCAGCCATACTCCACGATAAGGACGTGAAGAACGAAAATTGCTTTTAGTAAACAATTAGAGAAACTAGGACGACTGTTGCGCGGCTTTCAAATTCACGTCGCACATCTCACAGAATGTTGGTAACCTGAGCGCTTCCATCTGGCTACTCAGAATGCCGCCATTAGGAAAACATTTTGATCTATGGAGATGTCTACTGCTCATAAACAAACCACGATCGCTCTGTCTCTAACTTCGGAATTCTACGCGCTATTAGTCGCTGCATACGTGCCGTTCCACGACGTTCTTCTTTCAAGGGAGACGTCAGTTCTTCTCCTAGAGTCAGGCACCGTGAGCTGTGAGAAGAAGCTAAGGTTCATCTAGGTCAGGCCTTAGGTTGTCAGGTTAAGCTTACACATGACTCCCTTGTGAGCCTCATGATTGGGCTGCGGCTTAATCCTAAGCATGCTCCAGCGGATGGCTCAAACTCCTACGGTGAGCTGACCTGATCTAGAGAACGAGCCAGGCCACCCCATTCGTAAGTGGGCGGCCCGCATAGATACCATTGCTGCGTCAGAAAGTGATAGTTATCAAAGCGTTTGTTTCATCTGCGATACTCAGTCTTCATGCATGGAACGTTGTACACTATCACTGATGATCACAATTTAAACATCTCTGTGAAGAAGAAGAGATCTACTTCCTGTAGACGATTACTCCACCTATCTTTCATTTAAAAAACAGGTGGGAGATTCCCAAGTAGCTTTCTTACAGCGAGCGCGCCTCAGATCATGTTTGTTTACTAAATGATATGGAGTAGATTTAGTGTTTAATAATATTAAAGCTTTTGGTTCTGTTCGCACCATCTGATACACTGAAGGTGGATTTTGTGATTGTGCCCTGAATACGGCTAATTTGAGGTATGAAAGGAATATTGTTAGGTTATGCTCACGAAAACCAGAAGTTGATGCTCAAACGCTGTTTATGAAGAACATGGCCGCCTGATAGCTTACGTAGTTTTCAGATGACACCTGGTGTCTGTATGATATGGAAGTGCAATTACGGATTGCACAGTGTCCCAAGTCGCCCGAAATATGATGCTCAATTAAAGTCATTTACAGTAGTACGTAATCTAGCCAAGTTCAGTTGAGCACGCGAATTGGAGTGGTCGTCTACGGTTTGACGGCGCACCTCTATGCTCCTTTGGGATCGCTAACGCGTGATGAATTTCTCGACATTGAAGCCTTACCATACTACGGGAGTCAAATAGTTAATTTAGAAGAGTGAGTCTAACCATAAATGCCAACCTCTAATCATCTCCACGTGAGATTTAGCGTTTTTCAGCGCTCTTCGCATGGCTGCACTTCAGTTCCAGACCGAAATGGACCGACCAAATTCCAGAAATGTCATCGTGCTCTCGGCCACCTCCTATAGGTTTGTACTAGTGTAGAGTGTGCGACATTTGGTTAAACCCCGTACTCTGCGCAAATTTGGGGCTTAACACTCGCTGGCGATAAGTATTGTGCGGCTATACGGCTGGACGCGACCGGACCCTACGAGGATGTTGATAGAGTCAGAACACTGCTCAAATCCCGCTGAAGGTCCTGGACCAGCGCCTTCGATGGTGATAGGTATGGATACGGAGTAGGAAGGCCAAGGGAATATCCGATAAAACGGCAGTGGACTTTAAAGCGCGAAGCAAGCGGCTGCGAGGACCCTCAAAGCAGAGGTGGGGAGACGTCATCAAGAAGGTCCTCTTTGCTCTCAAGGCCACTGCAAGGTGCCTCGGGTAGAACAACATGGCAACGGCTGGCAGGCAGCGGGGCTCTACCGCAATATACGGGGCACCTTCCAGGACTAAATTCAGGAGGGGCAGGAACTCCATGGAAAATGAAACTAGCTCGCGCTCCCTTGGAGTTTGGCCTCTTCTGCCAGGGGCTGCGTCCATTTGCAACAGAGAAGAAGGTGTTTCACGCGGTTTTTCCAATACAATGGCCCCGTATCTTGCGATAGCGCCGACAGCGGAGTCTGCGACTGCGCGGAACCAACGCTATGGAGAAGAAGTAGAAGTGTCACGCAACCTTCCAAATACCATGTGCGCTCCCTTTTTACTGCAAATGCACACAGATTGGGAAATTCACTAGTACTGTATTTTATTCGGTGAGGCCTCACCGAGTGACCCAACATCAGAGTCAAGAGGAAACTACAGTAACCAATGTCCGCCATGGTTTAGTGCTGGCGGAGCATTCAACCCCAAACAAGTCGCTGATCAATTCAAGGAGGATAACGGAGTGCTTGTCGTCTATAGTAAGTTTGTATTTGTGGCTCACTTATAGTCATATCACGGTGTCTGACGGCGTGTTTACAGGCGTGTTTACTTGACTACGAACGTGAATAGGAAAATTATCAATACACATATCCGAGAGCATTTCGTCATTTCATCAGGCTTACGTCAAATCAGTAGTGAAAAACAGCAAAAAGAAACAGTAGGAAAAAATCGTGCGACCTCTATCCTATGGTTTGCTTACCACGAAGTCCGTAGACACGCCCACTCTGACGCTCTATAGGCCGATGTCAGACTTTGCGAATCGCGCGATTCGCTAGCGTCTGCGGTCGCGTCGCGGCCAGTGAATCACTCAATTGGCTGGTACCGCAACGCGACCGCGGACGCTAGCGAATCGCGCGATTCGCAAAGTCTGACATCGGCCATATGGAGAGTAATGCTTTTGTATCCAACCTGAATTTTCATCGATGTTACAGATTACGTGGAAGAACACGGGTTCCCCGAGTCAAGATTGATGACCATCGCTTCACCAGGATACTTTCTTTCCACTACTACGGACCTTGCAGGGAATGGGATCAGTGAAGCATTGTGCAGCGGTTACTTTTCTTTTTCGCGTTTTTCTCAGCCTAGCCAGTGAAAACATCTGTTCCAGCAAATTGCTTCTGCCGTCAGGGGTACGACTCATTCCAGGAAGACCCGCAACGGAACACCCCTGAAACAGGTTTGCAGTCATTTTTTATCACTTTATCGCTGACAACGCGCTCTTGCACACTTGAATCTTTAGGGTGCTACTCGAGGAAGCAAGCCCAAGCTACATACACACTGGCGACCAGCCAATGCAGAACGGAGGGTGGTGTTGTTGCCCTCGCGAAAACTCCGAATGAAACGGAATACCTAGCTACGAGTAAGATTTACTACTAGCTCATAAGCCGCAAAATGATTTTTTTGGACTTGGTGACAATCTATTACTAATGTAGCCCCAAACTTGCCAAGAAACCTGTTTCATACTCTTAGTCCGACATATACTCTCTCTTTCGGTTGGCAGGAAATATCAGATTTGCCTTACTTTAGAATCTTTTTGAAATGTAGCAGCAGAAACTCGAGTCTCATCACTCGAGCTGCACCTGCCGGAACGGAACTTATAGAGCCACCGCTTGTCTTGAGTCGAACTTAGCGCGCCCTCTCCTATAATTTATCAATATTCCTGACTGTTTTCTTGGCACTGCTTTCTTTCTTGAACTCGCAAAGAAGAATATGCTGGGAATGCTCTTCACCCC